CTGCTTGTTTTCCTTCTCTCACTGTGTCTCTCTCTGTCAAATGAATAAATAAATAAAATCTTTAAAAAAAAAAAAGCCATCTGAAAAGACTTGAAAGCTAAAGGGTGTGGTTGCAGTTGAGCTTCATAATTACCCAGAAAAGAAAGAAATTAGGGAGATGTCTGTACGTTACCCAGTCTGTGGCAAGTGTGTAAGTCACAGAGAACAGACAGTTTTACTTATAAATTCTTTGGAAAAGTGTTTATGTTCAGGGACTAAATGAAGAAAAAGGGAAAACCTTTTTTCAGATTGAGATCAGAGTCAAATGATAGAATTTATAGTAAAGTTGTCTTTATAAATTATAATCTACATGGATTCATGTAAAAGAAAACCCTTGTTTAAAAAGTAAGAATATGTTATTATATGACAAAACAAGTCCAGAGGTAGATTTCATGGTTGGTCAGTTCAGTGATCCAGTTTCTTTTCCTGTATCTGCTGTGTCGTCATTATTGAATTGACTTCATTCTCATACCTGTACAGATTGGCTGTAGCAGTTATGTACATTGCATACAGATAGGAAAATTTCCAGAAGAATAAAAGTAGATTTGTCTTCTTGGTATGTTTATTTATAAGCAAAGGAAACATTGGCTACATTAGCCAGAATTGGAGTCCACACCATTCTTAAATTAATCTTTGTTGAGGGACATGGGATTAGGGCTTGATAATTATTTGGGCTGAAATAGATATATATGGGGAGTTCAATCTATGGCAGCTAGTGTTAACAACTGCTCTTAAGAAGTAAATTACGAATTTATTGATGAAATAAGTTCAGAAGTAAGGCAGAGTGAAACACAAGGCCCTGCCTACCACTTAAGAGCTGCATGATTTGGGTTAAGTTCCTTAATATCTCTAAACACACATTTCCCCATCTGTAAAACAGATGATAATGCCTAGTTCATAAAGTTGTTTTTTTAACTAAGTCGTATTTAGTCCGTCTTAAGTAAGATGAAATGAATTTTAACATTTCGTGAGTATTCAGTAAATACGTAACTGTACTGGTATCACTACTTTTATCTCTGTGGTTTTGTACTCAAAGAAAATTATGTAAAAATGGGATTTTCACTTTAAACACTTAGTTTTGTTTTTCCTGAAGATATAAAGGCCTAGACCAAAGTTGTCGTGGCACTCATTTTCTTCCCTAGTTTTCTTGTATTCGTCATGACAAAAATGGGGAAAACATAGTAAATTTAGTGTGAGCTGCCACTGACACAATTTGTTTACATGGTTGTGTCAACGAATACTTTACTATTTGTATTTGAGGTAGCATGAAAACTGAAGTGACATTTTCTGAGAATGTGCTTTTATTAGTATATTAGCGACGTATTAATAATTTCCCTTAATGTAGGCTTTTTCGTTTTCTTGCTATAATAAAAAGTGCAAGCCAGTTAAGGTATAAATAATTCTCTCTCATTCTTTGATATTTGCAGATGGTTTGTTCAATCAGTACATCAGTCAACAGGAATATAAGCCACGATGGAGTCAAATCATTCCCAAAAGCACCAAAGGTAAGCCTTATTTTCTGGGTTGTGGGTGGTTTTGCTTTAATGTCTCAGTTTCATTTTTCCCAGGGCAGCTCAAGTTTTACAGTACTTTGTGTGGGAAATCAAGTGTTTAACATAAGACATAGGTTCCTTAACTAGATAGAGTTAGTTAACTATATTAAACTTTTCTTTTAAACCTTTTTGTTTTATCACTACAACAGAAGATTGGGCAGTTTTAACACAAAATCCCCTCATAAACTGCATTTATAGAGGTGCTGTAAAATTATAGGCTTAGTGTTGTCATGCCGAATGTGTTCCTAATAAATCCTCAGTTTTGCAGAATTGCTCACTAAAGTGAACAGGGCTTATGAGGGAAGTAGAAATGGGGCATGCCATTCTAAATCTATGGAACTCTGAAGCAGATATGAATGAAAACTAGTGTGGTAACTCTGATAAAAATAAATACTGGTACAGTTAACTCCTTACAGGCATTTATATTGAGCATCACAGTGAGATTGGAGGCTTAAACCCTGGGACTCATGCTTCCTTCTTTCAGCTGTCGACCTTAGAGGGTATTTATCAAAACTTAAAATCTGATCCAGAGCATAGTCTTCTCCATTAATCCATTTTTTCATACAGGGGAAAGTATTTGTCACTTCTTGATCTTGACTCACTGCTTTGCCAGATGGTTAATATAGTGGAAAGTGTAGCAATTGTTTAGTGCAATTACTTGCATTAAAGGAAGGCAGTTCTGTGGATGTTTAGCTTTTTTCTGACAGTCTTCATAAATTACTAAGCACTCTCTTTAATTGGGAGGAAGCTCTCCCCTGATAGTGTTAAACATTAATATGCTGGAGAAAATTGCTTACAAACCTCCATAATTTCTGTTATTCAGACATCATTTCTCCTGCTTTATCAGTCATTTTTGAGGTAATTTTTGTCAGAGAAACACATGTTGTAGCAGATTGTAATTGTGTATTTGAAAATAATGGGTTAAATATATAAAATGCAAACATATTGACAATAAATTTATTTTAGTGTCTTATTCTGTTCTTGGAAGTGGCAATACTGATTGGGGGGAAGAAGGAAGAAAAAGATAAAACTTCAATGATAACGAGCCATGAAATCTTAACATAACTATATTGGAAAGGAGAAAGAATTTGCGGAGGACTTCTGAATGAAAAGTCCTTGAATACGGTAGAAATGGAATGATGCTTCAGTTTGGCGTGGTATCTTCTCTATATAAGAACTGACATTTCAGTATTTTTCACAGTACCCCAGTGAAGTTAGTAAAAACTTGGATGGTCCCTGTTTCATATAGGAGAAAGCTGAAACATGGAAAATTATTAGCTAAAGTAATATATTTCAGTTAATAGGGGAGTTATAAAGAAAAAGGTTTTCTGGTTTATATCAAGACAGGCATTAGAATCCTGCAACCTGTTGAACCATTGAAATGAAGTTATATCTTTGTTTATATAAGATTTGGTATAAAGTAAGATTTAATACAAGTTGAACAGTAGTTCTACAGAAGTTTAAAAGTTTCCCTGATTAGGGGCACCTGGGTGGCTCAGTCTTCAAGCGTCTGCCTTCGGCTCAGGTCATGATCCCAGGGTTCTGGGATCGAGCCCCGCATTGGGCTCCCTGCTCAGCCGGGAGCCTGCTTCTCCCTCTCCCACTCCCCCTGCTTGTGTTCCCTCTCTAGCTGTCTCTCTCTGTGTGTCAAATAAATAAATAAAATCTTTAAAAAAAAAAAAAGTTTCCCTGATTATATTTCAAACTGCCTGTTAAGCTCCACGATGAAAATAGGAATCAAAGGGAAGTAAATCTTACACTTCTCGGTCAGTACTCAAGTTATGTGGTAATATAAATTAATACAAAACTTAATAACATGTTGGTTTTCAGTAGCTTAGTTGTATGAACTTTAAAACTGCTCATTATACTAATTAGGTATGCTTGGACTAGAGACCTGAGATCTAATTCTGTAACTGTTTTCCCCCTTCACTTTGTCACACCAATAGTTTAGAATTTTTTGTCTTATATTTTTATGGAATATCCTGATCCTTGCAGATTTATGGCATTGGTCATAAATACATTGAAAATAGTTTCCTGTTACATTAATAGCCTGAAAGCTTTGGAAAAAAGAGCAGGGTAATTATTATAAACATAATTATATTATTTCTTTTGAGTCTTTTTACTTGTTCTTAATACTGAAAGAATAAATGTGTTTTTTGTTTTTGTTTTAAATTTTATTTATTTGACAGAGAGAGGGCACAAGCAGGGGGAGTGGGAGAAGGAGAAGCAGGCTCCCCACTGAGCAGGGAGCCTGATGCGGGGCTCGATCCCAGGACCCTGGGATCATGACCTGAGCCGAAGGCAGACGCTTAATGACTGAGCCACCCAGGCACCTCTGAAAGAATAAATGTGTTTTAATTGTACTACTCATTGCAGACTTATGAATGCAGTTACTGTGGATTTCCAGTTATTCTGTGTTATTGTTTTTATTTTTATTTTTTTTTAAAGATTTTATTTATTTATTTGACAGAGAGAGAGATAGCAAGAGCAGGAACACAAGCAGGGGGAGTGGGAAAGGGAGAAGCAGGCCTCCCGCCGAGCAGGCAGCCCAATGTGGGACTTGATCCCAGGACCCTGAGATCATGACCTGAGCCGAAGGCAGACGCTTAACGACTGAGCCACCCAGGCGCCCCTTTGTTATTCTTTTTAAAGAACATATTTGTTTCTTCTTCAGGTGATGGAGAAGATAACCGACCAGGAATGAGAGGGGGCCACCAGATGGTTATTGATGTTCAAACAGGTGAGGAATATTTGCAGTGGAAAGCAAATTCTTTTAAAAGTCATATATTCTAAAATAACAGGTAAGCACAAAGATACTTCCTCCATTAATTGCAGAGGTGAAATACCACCTGTAATAACCAAGTAGCAAAGAAAATAAGACATTAGCCACAGGTTTAACATAAAGGAGGTAGTAATACATGAGGGAAGGGAGGCTGCTGCACAATTGAAATTAGGTAACCTAAAAGAAATGTGCTGCCCTTTCTAGCTGTGAGTGTGTGTGGTTTTATATATGTTTGGTTTTTGTAATAAACTGTGGAGTATTTCTGGGTTTTCAGTGCACTTATATTTTAATGCTATAATATGGGAATTATTGCAAGAGAATGAAGATATTTTTTGAGAAAGAGAATATCAAATTAAGTAGCTTAAGTGTTGATAGATCACTAATTGCTTAACACTCTTCACAAGCCTATAAATAATTTGTTTTAGCTATTCTTTTTTGCTGCCTTTTAGACTTTATTCTATAACTTGATACTGAAAATTTTCCTTAGGTTTCTACAGCCTGGGACAACTTAGATACCATTGTATTTAGAGGTTAATGCTAAAATTATAGTAGGTTTTAAATTACCATCTGGAAAAGCAAATACCAAGAATTCAGTATAATTTTACTTTATTATTTGGTTTTAGAAATCTTTACTTCAGGGAGTGCCAATATCCATTCAAGTAATATTTTACTTTTACTTTTTCAGTTCTGTTACTGTGTTATGCTGATTCATAGTGCCTCAGAAATAATTTTTGTTGACTCACATCGTAAAGTAATTAAGAATAAAAATTATTGCAGTTTAGATAATTATCTTCTAGGCATTAATGTATTTTCACAAATGTTTTGTAAGTAACAAGAAGAGAGGTTATAATATCTCTCTTAAAATTAACTGCTAAATTTGTATAGTAACCTGTGAGCTGGTTTAGGAGTATTACTAGTTTCTGTATGGAAGAGCTTCATTTCAGGGCATCTGAACTTGCTCCCCTAATGTTGGTCTGTCTCCCCAAATCCTTTCCCTCCCACAGATACAGGTTTGACTCAGCTTTAGAGTCTGAGGCATCCTTTCTTCTGAGAATCCAGTAAACATACATATGCGTTCTTTTTTTTTTTTAAGATTTTATTTATTTATTTGAGAGAGAGACAGTGAGCACAAGCAGGGGGGAGGGGCAGAGGGAGAAGCAGACTCCCCTTTGAGTAGGGAGCCCAACACGGGGCTCGATGCCAGGACCCTGAGATCATGACCTGGGCCAAAGACAGATGCTTAACTGACTAAGCCACCTAGGCACCCATGTTGTTGGTTATATTCTAATATATTTAAATTTTCTCATGATTCTGCTTATTCTTTTCTAGTATATAGACTATGCTTCTTTAAGGCTGTAGTTATCATTACCTTGGGATCTAGGTAGAAAAATTAAATGTTATATAGAGCTTTGCATTCCTTCAAGCAACGTTTGATGCTTTCTGAATTTAATTTAGGTACAGAGCAGAATTTGGGATATCTTTGGATTTGCTCTTTAGAAATCCTTCTATTTCTATTATAAAACTATTAATAGTATCAGTTACCAAGGTATTTTCATATACTTCATTTTATCATGTCTGTACCAGAGCCCTCTTATAACTGATACCATGAGACTGATCTTAATCATCTTCAAGGAGATTATATTTATTGTTAATCTTTGAAAGAACTTTTTCTAGTCTGGTCTTACTGCCATAGCAACCAAATACAATGGTTGAGGGTTCAGTTTGTGAGAAGGCAGTGTGTTAGACATACCTGGGTTTGAATCCTGACTTTACCACTGACTTTTTATTTGATCATGAATGAGTTATAATGATGATAAAAATGGGAATAATAAGTTATTGGGAGAGTTAAATGAAATAATGTATTTTATATATAATGTATATATTATTTATATAATGTCTTTTTATGTGCAACATTATATACAGTATATATTGATTGGTTTTAATGAGAGAATTTTATGTAAGTCTAGAGACCTTTTTAATCTTTGGTTTGAGTTTTTGACAGAATCACACAGTGGAAATATTTTAAAACAATTTTAAAACTTTTGAAAAATAATTTAAAACAACTTGAAAAGCAGTCTTGAGGGAAAAAAATAACTCACCCATAATCCCACATTTTAACTAACCAATGTTATTTCAGTATATTTGCTTCATCTTTTATCTGTGTTGTCCTGACTGATATTTTAGAGAGGAAGGGAAACCATAAATATACTTCTAAGATTTTTAGAGAAAAAAAAAAATTAAGAATTTTGCTGATAAGGATTAGGTAGAGTTAGTTCCCGAGTGGAGTTTGAAGAACCTAGAAGTTTTATCTTAATAAAGTTGATGCCAGAGTAGTGGAACGTAGTAAAGAGATCCAGTCATTATTTTAAGTATTCATTTTAAGGATTTCTGGAGCAAGGGCTCTTAATCTGGTGAAGTTATATACAAAATTTTGTTCGTATGTACATTTTTCTAGGAAGAGAATCAGATCGTCAAAAGGACTCTTAAAAAGAAGACCTTCACTAGTGTAAAACTTCATAGAGTTCATTTCATCTTTAAAGTGGCTTGTATTTCAAGCAATTATTGCTTCCCAGTGTTTCATGTATCTTGTTTTCTTAAAAATATAATGGTTCCTAAATTTTTTTTCACTGTTTTTTAAAAAACATTTTGCTATAGCTCTAAGGGTAGAGTAACAATGTAGAAAAGTACCTGATAGCATACATTTTACTATTTAATTTCAGAGCTTTCTGTCATCCTAAGTGAATTCTATCATTTATACCATGGTAGAGAAGAAATACAGTATTTTGTCCTAGTGAATGTGTATGTCAGTTTTATTGACTATTATCCCTGTACCTGGCAACTCCAGTTCGGTTCTTCAACTCTGGGTAAAATAAGGCAAATAGAGAGAAAAGGTGTATCTATTCTGTTTCAGTGTGGAAGTTTGTTCAGATGAAAATTTAAATGTTCATTGTACCAGACAGTTCTTTGTTGGGTAACTCTTGTTGAATTTGAGAACCTATAGTGCCAGCCTTTTTTCATCTCTCAGGATAGGTAGTAAGACTCAGGCAAAAATCCCAGAATTTGGTAACTACAAAAGAAATGAAATGCTTGTCACTTGGTAGAGCCCTTCTATGGAAATCTGAACCTTTGTTCTGTACTAATTATATGAAAGTGCTTGCTTGCTTGCCTCTTTCTTCCTTTCTTTTTTTTCCACAGTGCCATATATAGGTTTTCCTTAGATTCCTTAAAGAAATTTTTGAAGGAATAGGTGAATGTGGGTTTTAGTTGTTATTTACAAACTTATTCACTTGGCTGATTTCTTTAGCTTTCAATGACATGAATCTTTTTTCTTTCATATAGTTACCAGAAAGGAATTCTGGTAAGAATACAAAGTATATTGAAATATATATACAGGAAATATATATTGAATTCAACCAAAGGATCAGTCTCTAGATTTGTAATCATAGCTTTATGTAAGAATATAGTACTATTTAAAAAGGGAGGCAGATGAATCCAGTTGATAATCTGCTGGGTCATAGGAGTTCAGGGGAATGGCTAAAGAAGGTAAGGTTAAAGAACATGTGAAATAGATTTCTCCTTCTAATTCACTCCTCTCTTCAAAATTCTATTGATGAAACTCTTGAATTAAATGTTCTGACAGGGTTTCATTTTTATCTTAAATTTATGTTTCTTAAAACTTTTTTTCCATTTCATTTGTTTTTCTCAAGGTATCTATATATTAAACTAAGAATTAAGTTAACTTCCTTCACTATTCTGTTAACTCTTCTCCTACCTCTTCTTTTTGACACATAAATTTTGTTTAATGTTGGGCCCATGCTATGTGAGTGTATAGGGTTTGTATTCTGTACTGTTTCAAAGTGGAAACATGGATTTAATTATGAAAATAGTGTGCCATCTTGTGGAGGATTATTCAGTCAGCACAGTCTGATTTACCCGTAAGAATGAATAGAAGGATAGATCTTGCATTTGGGCTCATAAAATAAAAAGCCTGCTTCTTTGTGCTGAATGGTGAAAAGACACTGATGTATTAATATTTCTACCTTATTTTTAGTATATTTAAGATGTGTATATTAGTATTGCTGGTAGTAAGTCACTGGAGGGTTTATTTAGTACTGGTACCAAAAAGACTTGTGCTAAAGAATATGGTTGAATTTGTTTTTGTGGCCTCAGAAATGACAGATTGACTCACTGACTGATGATTGATTCATTCAGTCTCAGAATGAAATTGGTTTGATATTTTGAACATAGGCTATATTGGTCACTTTATTTCCAATCCCTCTCTTTTTCTGGCTTCTCCTTCTCAGTCAAGTCCTATAATGCTGCAAGTTCAGAGCTGTCCTTGTTACATCTCTGCTTGGGATCTTCTGAAGCTCCTCCATGGTCTGTGGAGTTGAGTTCAAAGCCTTTATATTGTCATTTAACCCCTTCCACGATCTGGCCACTACCTGTCTTTTTAACATCATCTCCACCTGGTACTTTTTGTGTTCTTTTAAACTGAACAGTGCATTTACTCATCACACATTTTTAACCACTTTGCATGCATTATGTAATTTAATACTCATAGTAGCTTTATGAGCTAGGTGCTGTGGTGTGCCATTTTGGACTTGAGGAAACCAGTGGTTAAGAAACCCAGCTGTGGTGGTAGAACTACCGTTCTATCGAGATCCACCTGACTTTAGAGTCCATGTGTTTTAAAACATTTCTCATGTGGGGCGCCTGGATGGCTCAGTCGGTTAAGTGTCTGCCTTTAGCTCAGGTCATGATTCCAGGGTCCTGGGATGGAGCCCCACGTAAGGCTCCCTGCTCAGCGAGAAGACTGCTTCTCCCCTCCCTCTGCCCCTCTGCTCCTGTTCTCTCTCTCCCTGACGCTCACTCTCTCTCAAATAAATAAAATCTTTTTAAAAAAATTTTAAAAATAAAACATTTCTCATGTGTTTTTCTGTCTCTGTGCCTTTGTTATACTTTTTACTGTGCTTGAAACGTTCTACTCTCTGTCTCCCATTCTGCCAACAGAGGCACCTTCTTTTTTTTTTTAAGATTTATTTATTTAGAGAGAAAAAGAGCATGCATGTCAGTAGGCGAGAGGGAGAGGGAGAGAATCTCAAGCAGACTCCCCGCTGAGCACGGAGCCCTATACGGGGCTCCATCTCACGACCCTGAGGTCATGACCTGAGCCGAAATCAGGAGTCTGATGCTTAACTGACTGAACCATCCAGGTGCCCCCAGAGCCACGTTCTGATGCATAGGTCAAATACCTTTCTTGAGTCCCCTCAGGTATACTCTCTTCCCTCTTTTTAAATCGATGGTACTTTCTACCTTTCTTATGGCATTTAGTCTGCCCTGCATATGGTGATTTATGTACTTGTGTTATATTCTTGATTAGATTGTAAGCTCCTTGAGGATAGGGACTGTCTTCTTTCTTTTCTGTAAAATACCTTATCAATTCAGACTAGCCCTGGGAAAACATTGACTGTACATTCCTCTGAGTGCCGGGAGAAATGGATAGCCACAATAGCCTATGTGCCTTTAAGAAAAAAATATAGAGAATGGGCTGCTGCTTGAGGAAGACTGTACTGCCCAGGGATGTACGTGAATTGTTACATGAATTGTTACATAAGGGTAAGCATGAGACTGGACCCTGTTGCAAATAATGTTTTCTTTTTTCTGTTTCCTTACTTCTTACTATAGTTCTCTCCAATTATTTCTGTAATCTTTAAAAGTTTTTGATACCCTTTACGCATTAAATAATACTTTTGCTCATGTTTGTTTCTAGATAATATTTCATCTCTGGATGATCTAACTTAAATGATTAGATGATATAATTAAATTTTGTCATGCATTTTATTCAGGTATGTCAAAAGGTCCTGTTTCCATCTGATTCATTCAATTTTACTATTAAACTTCAGCTAGGACTACAAAGCATTCACAGACAAGAATGACATCTTGGATTAATTCCATTGGGATGCTTGCTCTCTGCCAGATTTTATTTTGCTCAGCTATCAATGAGGCTGTTGTGGAAATGTGGGTTTTCTTTGCTGTGAGAATTTATGCGTACAAAGAGACCTGCTTTTCAGAAAGAACATTGAGAACCCAGAGCCCAAGAGGAAGGGTTATTAAAGTTAATGAACCAGGGTAACCTTATCCAGAGGGTACCCAGAAACACTATAAAACAAAAGGTCAATTGCTATTGCTATTTTAGTTATACACCCCCCTCCCTCTCCTGGCTTCAGAATTTAACAGGGTTAATTGCCTTTACAGTGAGGCCTTGGCAAATAATTTTTAAGCAGATGAAAATCCTTTTTTTTTTCCTGTAAAACTTGAAGTATCTGGTATTGCTGCATGCCATTTGGGAAACAGAATGTTACTTAACTAATGATAATGGATTGTTTTATAGTTCTGAGATATGATAGTTTTTTAAGTTTCAAATAATTGCCATTATTTCACATTTGTACAGAGCTAGGAAGTTCTAGGTACTGAGTTAGTCATGGAATTGGATACAGTAATGCTGTTTTTATTGCATCTGTGGCACTTAGTAACTACAGAGTATTTTTTATTTTTGTGCATGTTTTAAAGGTAGAAATGCTGTTTGTGCTTCATAGCCTTCAGAATGTTTTCAGGTAACTTACATCTGAAGAACTACACCACAACACTGAGAGTTTTGTAAGTGAAAAAACTAAGACCCAGGGAGGTTATGTGGCCCATATTTGATTTGATTGCCCAGTTAGCACTAGAACTCAATCCTGTTGCAATGGTATGTTCTTACCCAGAAGCATTGTTTTGATTTCTGTAGCTTCTGGGGCATAGAATGGGACATTTTACTTAGAAAATTCACTTAGCATTTGAAATTATATGAAAATATGATAAAAATCTCTTAGAAGACAGTCCAACTCTATGAATGTCAAGAATTTTCTTAATGATGTTACAGTATTTCTAAATGCACTTTGAATTGTAACTGTTCATGGTGGGACCTAACTTAGATGACAGTCTCCACATAAATAGGCCTAGGTCATGTCAATTAGGGAGTAGATAGCTTTACAATGTTCCTGTATGTCTTAACTTTTTAAAAAAAAAAAGAGGCACCTGGCTGATTCAGTCAGTAGAGCATGTGACTCTTGATGTTGCAGTCATGACTTCAAGTCCCATGTTGGGTATAGAGCTTACTTAAAAAAAAAAGAAAGAAAGAAAGAAAGAGGGGTACCTGGATGGCTCAGTCAGTTAAGTGTCTGCCTTTGGCTCAGGTCATGATCCTGGCCAGGGTCCTGGGATCAAGTCCTACAGCGGGCCCCCTGCTCAGCGGGAAGTCTGCTTCTCCCTCTCCCTCTGCTCCCCCCCCCCAACTTGTGCTCTGTCTCGTTCTCTGTCTCAAATAAATAAATAAAATCTTAAAAAAAAAAAAAGGAAAGAAAAGAAAATGTAACTTTTTAAATAATTGGGGGGCTTGTGTAAGCAGTAGATATAAGACATTTAAAAGGGGGGAAATATTTGAAGAAAGGAGAGGCACTATTATAAAGAAGGAAGTGGATGATAACAGTGTTATATATAAAGATTGTCACTATTCACGGGGCAAGAAATCAGTTTTGTTGCAGTGAAACAGCCCATGGATATAATAGACATTTCAGAGTTAGAAGAAACCGAATTTTCAAGATACCTGGAATGACTTAAAGGTTGACTTCTAAGGAGTTAAGCCTACCATAGTATATTTGGAAAAGATTTCCCTAGTTTCCATGGGAATGCCAAGGCTGTACATCACCTTATTCTTGAGGTGTCTAGCTTTAACTCAGAGCTAGTTTTAACCATTGTTTTTGATATTGCACTAGAGGGAAAACAGTTTTAATGTGAAGTTTTTTTTCAGAAATAGCTAGATGTCTTTATGTTCTATTTTAGACCATATGTTCCTTTGCGATTTGTTTCTTTTCTTTTCTTTTTTTTTTTTTTAACAATCTGATGCTGCATTGCTAAGAAGCTGCTAAATGTAAACTTTTTGTGGCCTAGCACAGAAACTCCTGAACTGGCAGTACATGAGATTCACTCTGCATACTTGAAAAAAATACAGACTCTTCTTAACCACTGAAGACCTATGAAAGAATCTAGGGGCATGTCTCTTAGTTATTTGTATTTTTTACCAATCTTTCAAAATAGGTGGTCCTGCAGCAGCCTTTCCATATACCCACGTTTAGGAGATACTAGCCTAGTATATATTTTGAAATGTTACCCATTGACAAATTTCATTTTTAAGTTTATTTAGAAGTGCCTTTTTAAGTGATCTTAAAAACTATGGCTACGTCTGGGTGCCTATATTCAAATTTTATCCTTAAGGGTTTTTTTATACATATTTTTCTAATTTTCATAGAGACCGTTTATTTGTTTGGTGGCTGGGATGGAACACAAGATCTTGCTGACTTCTGGGCGTACAGTGTGAAGGAGAACCAGTGGACATGTATCTCTAGAGACACTGAGAAAGAGGCAAGTTCTCAGACTTTTCATCCATCTGTATTACAATAGGGGTGTGGGTGTACCCTTCTTTTTCTGGATGATTTGTATTCTTTTCTATACCCACAGTAGTAGCGGAAGTCTTTGTAGTAAACAAGTTTGGTTTAAGTATTCTTGCATTCTAGCTTCTATACCTGGTTCTTCAACTACTGTTACATGAACAAATCTATTTCATAGAGCTAAATAGAAATGGGTATCAAATATAATAGTAGTTTTTAACTACTTTAGTCTGGAAATGTAAGTGTGTAATAATCTTTTTTCTCATGTTTCTGTCACCTCTACTCTTGTTCCGAGCATTCATCTTATTTTGATTTCCTCTGGAAAAATGTGCTTTTATTGTCCTTACCTTTTCACTATTTTGGTCCCTCACTATTTGACTATGTATCAGTTGTCACAAATGATATATATTTTATTTTTGACTAAAATTGTATTCACGTGTGTGTCTATTGATACATATATACATAAAGCATTTCCTTAGTGAATAAGATGGCTTGGATTTATGGCTTTGAATTACGTAAGTGCATAATTATACACTAGTATAAAGCAAATGTTAACTGATTTATTTTTTCCAGATCTTTATAGAATTTTTTATTGTGCCCTCCATCTAAGCTGTTTCAGATTACGAGGTGAAAAATAAACTTTAACAAAACAATGGGACCTGAAAATGAAAAGTGGGGGAAAAGACCTAATTCAAAACGCACTGCTTTTAATCTAGAATGGCCATTTCAGAAGATCAGTGCTCTGTCTTTAATTCTAGGAAATTGGATTCTGCTTAGCGTGTTCCAGTGATTAATTTGGGTAGTTTTTATCTTTTCAAAGATATCTTAAATTCTGATTTCTATTTGTTATCTCTGTGAAAATATGTAAAAAATGGCCTTTGTCTTTCAGTGTTAAAGTACCATTTTCTGAAGTGATTATTTGTATCTTCAACAAAAATAGAGATCTAAAAAAATTCCTAACTTATTTCTTTTAAACTATTATAAATCTAAGTTGATTGCATCTGTAATTATTCTTGCAGTAAGTCTAGGATTCATCCTGAAATCCTCCTTCTTCATTGAATGTGTCTAATTAGTGCGTAAGTTCCAACATTTCTAGCACCCAATACTGCATTTCAGATGTCTTTTCTGCTCTACTCCTTTTGGCACTAATTGCAACACTATGGTTTCTTTCTTAAACTTTTGCCTCCACTGTTAATCTGTTGTCTATTTTCCATTCATTAAAAAGCATATTTGGCCATGTGACACTTGCTTAACCCCTATGGTTAGCTTCAGTCCCTGTTTCACTTATGTCTTACATTCCGTCTATTCCAAGCGCCCACCAAACCTCAGTGGCATATAGCAGTAGGTGTTTATTTTGTTGACGAGTCTACAGATAGGCTGCGTCATTCTTTTGGTGTTGGCTGGACTCATTCATGTGTCCTGGAGTCAGCTGGCTGTCAGCTAGTCTAGCATAGCTTCAAGTGGGGGCTACTTGGCTCTGTTCTACATAGTTGCTCACCTTCCTGTTGGCTAGCTGGGGCTTGGGGCATGTCAGGGGCAGGGCTGCAAGGAGAAAAGGTAGACATGAGCACGCCACTAAATTTGTTATTGTCCCATAGGCCAAAAGAAGTCATATGGCCAAAGCTAGAGTCACTATATGGTGAGGGGCACTATCAAAGGGCATAGATACAGGAAAGTGTGAATAACAACAACAATAATCATAATGATAAGGCACTTTATCAACCTTAGTTCCTTTGGCTTAGATTATAAATTTCAAATTTCTCATCATATTTGGTCCCCATTTACCTTTCTTGCCTCATCTCCTGACTTTATGTGCCAGCCACACCTTTAGTTGCTGGAATTCAACTCTCTTACCTGATGGTCCCTTGGCAATAATGTTCTTTTCTGTTTGAAATTAATAGAGGGCTCCTCCTCCCATGCACCTGGCTCTTAGTAAACACCTGCTTATTCTTAAAACTCAGTTCAGACTTTCTCGGGGAAACTTTTCTTGACTTCTCCACATAGAAGCTTCCTTTGGTGTGCCCACTTTTAACCACTTATATTCCTTCAATAGGTAACTAAAATGAGTAGTTTACATTTTTGTTTCCCTACTTAGACTCTGAGCATGAATCATATGTTTATTCTTTAGTGAGCAAATGGGTGAGATAAATTAAATGAAAAATTAATGCTGGAGAAAAGCATGGGAAGATAAATACAAAATCAGGAGAGTAGCTATTTTGGCAAGAGAGGAGGGTAGTTTACAGGGGAACTCAAAGGTCATATTAATGTTCTACTTATGAAACTGGACGTGGTTATTATTTTGATATTATTTACATGTTATATATAAGTAATATTTGGAATGCAATTAATAATTATTTTAGGGGCGCCTGGATGGCTCAGTCATTAAGCGTCTGCCTTCAGCTCAGGTCATGATCTTAGGGTCCTGGGATCGAGCCCCGCATGAGGCTCCTGGCTCAGCAGGGAGCCTGCTTCTCCACTCCCTCTGCTTGTGTTCCCTCTCTGGCTGTGTCTCTCTCTGTCAAATAAATAAAATCTTTAAAAAAAATAATTATTTTGGGGGGCCCTGGGTGGCTCGGATGGTTAAGCATCTGCCTTCAGCTGAGGTCGTGATCCCAGGGTCCTGGGATCGAGCCCCACATGAGGCTCCTGGCTCAGCAGGGAGCCTACTTCTCCCTCTCCGTCTGTCTCTCCCCCTGCTCATGCTCTCTCTTTCTGTTTGTATATGAATGAATAAATAAAATCTTTTAAAAAATTACTATTTTAAACTAGTACTGGAAAAATATAGAAATTATTTTGATGAGACTCAGACTTTGTTCCTGTTATTTTGAAGTCAGTGGTGACTCAGTACTGGAGTTCAGATTCATTATGGGTTTATTATTGCTTTCTTCACATAGATGCCTAAAAACTTTTTGTTGGTTTTTCTATGAAATAAATGGTAATAGTATATGGCTGTAGCATAAATATTCATTCCTTCCAAAATTGAACAGTTAGTATTTCGTATATCTCATTTTATTTTCTATACCAGTGAGTGAGTACAAGGTATTATTTGATGATACCCAGGGCATGTGTTTCAAAAGTGTGATATGCAATTAAGAGGCAGTATTAATTTAATTCACTTTAATTTACTTAAATATGTATCTAATAACACATTTAGGAGGTTGATAGATAATAGAATGGCTCAGCTCTTAAAGAGAATAATTACTTTAAATGTTCATATAGATATGCAAGTAACTTTTTATAAAGGTTTGAAACAAATGTATTTTTCTTTAGTTTGCATTTTTATAAATTTCTTTAGTGTCAAGCTTTGTGGAAGACAGCTAGATTCTCCTATCTGCTTCTGTGTTTAATCTCTTGCAACATGTTGTTTTCTGTGAAATATATGAAGAAAATTGGACCTCAACACATGGTTATATTTTTGGAAAGGAGAGTAGTATTTTAATAGCCTTTTCAGATATTTGCACATGGTCTATTTTGATCTCATATCCCAAAATGACAAGTGGTTCTTTCTTAAAGGTGATTGCATTATAGACTCTGAAACCATATCAACTAATGTTTTGTATTGTTACATTCAAATCCATTGTTCTGTCTTGCTCTTTGAATATATCTTTTACCCGTGCATGGTTTTTTTACCCATGTGTTGGTCACTTGAAAACTATTGGTTTCCTGAGTTCTGCATATCTTACAAATGTTGAAATTTTATTATACAATATCAAAAAACCCATATTTGTTAATATTACTATCAATGTCATCAGAAAAGTTTTCTAAGTATTGGGAAGGTGTCAAGATCACAGTAGCACGTAGAAGTTTTAAAAATTCTAATTTTTGCTTAAAAACAAATTTTAAAATTTGCTTTTATCTTTGGCAACAAATTTTGTCAGTTTTTTTCAAAATGACATACTAACTGTATTCATTTTTTCAGAAAATGTCTGTCATAACCGTTATATCTGAATAACTGCACTTGGATTGTTAGTTTTCTTTCACATAAATAGAGTATTCCATGGAAGAAGCAGCTGGGTCAGCTTGTAACTGAGTCACATAGGTGCATTTCCTTGAAATAACCACCATACATCAAGTAGCACTGTTTTATATAAAGTTTTCTAAATCTCTTTAATGTTTGGCTTAATAGAGGCAGCTGGATTCATATCTGCTTCTGTATCCAATCTGTTATTACATCAGAAGTCGTGTAGCCTCTGGAAAATTTCATGTACACTCAGTAAGAGAATAAGAACGAAAGACAAATTCTTATCTTAGTGGTGTTATAAACAACTGACTCTGTGGACTCCCTGAAGTGTCTTGGAGACCCCAGACTGCTCTCAGAACTGCTGCTTTAATTTAATCCGCAGACTCTTTCCAGATATAGACACTTATCCAGTAATACCTCAGTAATCTCCTTTATAGATGTCCCACTGTCACTCCCAACCCCCATCCCTGACCAGGACTCATGATCATGCATTGCATTTCAGTGTCATGTGTCTTTAGTCTCCTTTATTCTGGAATAGTTCTCACCCTTTCCTTATCCTTCTTGACCTTGACATTTTTGAAGAACACAGAGTAGTTATTTTGTAGACTATCACTCAGTTGGATTTGTTTCTTGTTTCTTTAGGATTGGATTTAGGTTGAGCATTTTTAGCACAAATACCATGTGGATGACTTTGGGTCCTCCTCCTTAGAATATCCCATCAGGAGGCACATTGTATCACTTTGTCTGGTGTTACCTTTGATCACTTGGTTAAGGAGAGTGCCCTCTAGATTTTTCCCCTCTATAATTGATATGTAACTTGTGGGAAGACATTTTGAGATTATGAAAGTGCCCTATTACTCATCAAACTTTCACCCTTTAGGGTCCATTGATGAAACTACTATAGCTTTTTCCAGAGTGATTGTACCATTTTATATTCCTGCTAGAAATATGTGAGAGTTTGTTGCTCCCTGTCTTCTTTCCCTGTTGAATTGCTTTGGCACCTTTGTAAAAAACCAACTGATCATAAAAGTATATGTCTCTTTTGGGATACTCTGTCCCGCTCCATTATCTTTTGGTCTGTTTATATACCAGTATGACATTCCATGAGGTCAGGTAATGTAAGACCTCTATTTTCTTCTTTTTAAAAATTCTTTCTTTCTTTCTTATTAAATTATTATTATTTCTTTTTAAAAATTAGAAATTTTAGAATCATACTGTCAATTTCTAAAACTGTTGGGATTATGATTGGGAATGTGATAAATCTATAAATCAATTTGGAGAGAATTGATGTCTTAATAATATTGTCTTCTAATCCATGAATGTAGTTAATCTCCATTTATTTCAGTCTTCATTCTTTGTCAGCACTCATGGAGTTTTTAGATGGAAGGTCTTGGATATTTTTATTAAATTGATGGTAGCATATTTTGTTTTTTCATACATTGTAAGTGGGACTTAAAAAAATGGGATGCCTGGATGGCTCATTCAGTTAAGTGTCGGACTCTTGGATTTCAGCTCAGGTCATAATCTCAGGGTTGTGAGATCAAGCCCTGCATCAGGCTCCATGCTAAGCAAGGTGCCTGCTTAAGATTCTCTCTCTCAGGGCGCCTGGGTGGCTCAGTCGTTAAGCGTCTCCCTTGGGCTCAGGTCATGATCCCAGGGTCCTGGGATCGAGCCCCGCATCGGGCTCCCTGCTCAGCAGGAAGCCTGCTTCTCCCTCTCCCACTCCCCCTGCTTGTGTTCCCTCTCTCGCTGTGTCTCTCTCTATCAAATAAATAAATAAAATCTTTTAAAAAAATTAAAAATAAAAAAATAAAATGGCTGGGCCTTTCAGCCCATGATCCCAGGGTCCTTGGCTCGAGCCCCGCTTTGGGCTCCCTGCTCAGCTGGGAGTCTGCTTCTCCTTCTCCCTCTGCCTGCTGCTCTCCCTGCTTGTGCTCTCTCTCTCTCTCTCTCTCTCTGTTAAATAAATAAATAAATAAATCTGTAAAAAAAAAAAAAAAGACACTCTCTCTCCCTCTGCCCCACCCTAAAAAAATTATCTTCTGTTTGCTTATTGCTAATATAGAGAACTAAGTTGGGTTTTTAATATTTCCTTTATATCATGTCACTTTTCTAAATTCACATACTATTTCTCATTGTTTCTTTGTTGATTTCTGAGGATGTTTTCAACAAATAGTCATGTTATCTGTGAATAGAGAAAATTTTATTCTTCCTTTCCACTCTTTTTTTCTGTTATAAGCTTTTATTTTATTTTTTAATGCCTTATTGTGCTGACAGACTTCCAGTACAGTGTTAATTAGAAGAAGTGATAGGGATGCCTGGGTGGCTCAGTCAGTTAAGCTTCCTACTCTTGATTTCAGCTTAGGACCTGATCTCAGGGTTGTGAGATTGAGCCCCAAGTTAGGCTCCGCACGCAGAGGGGAGTCTGCTTGAGATTATCTCTCTCCCTCTGCCCCTCCCCCCACTTGTGCTTGTGCATGCGCATGCTCTTTCTCAAATAAATAAATTAATTTTAAAAAAGAAGAAGAAGAAGAAGTGAGAATAGACATCTTGTTTCAGATCCTAGCAAGAAAGCATTGGGTATTTCACCATTAAGCGAAAAATTAGATTTAGGATTTTCATACATTCTTAACTAGATTAAGGACGCTCCTTTCTATTCCTAGTTTGCTGTGAAGCTTCCTCATGAATGTGTGTTGAATTTTATCAAATGCTTTTTCTATATAAACAAGATCATATTGTTTTCCTCTCTTTTAATGTGGTAAATTACCTTGATCAGTTTTCAAATGTAAAATTAACTTTGCATTCCTGAGATAAACCCCCTTTAGTTAAGAAATACCCTTTTTATATATACTGCTGCATTTTATTTAATAATATTTTGTTAAAGATCAGTTTTGTGTCTGTTCATGAGGTATACTGGTTACTGGTTGCCTGTAAATTATTTTTCCTCCTCCTTCTTTGTAGTACTGTTAATTGGCTTCAGTGTTCTGTTGTCCTCATAAAATAAGTTAGGAATATTATTTCTTCCTTAAGTGTTTGATAAAATTTACCAGTATAGGTATCTTGGACTGGCATTTTCTTTGTGGGAAGAAAATTTTAAATTATAAATTCAATTTTTCAATAGAGTGACTTCAGATTTTTTTCTCTTATCTTGTGTCAATTTTAGTTAAGTTTATAATTTTTCAAGGAATCTACATTGCAGATTTTACCTGTTTTTCACAATAGCCCTTTTTTTTTCTTTTTAACTTCTAGTGAGCCTATAAGTGATGTTCCTGCTTTCATTTATCATATTTAGCAATTTGTGTTTTCTCTTCCTTTTTAAAAAATCAGTCTTGGGACGCCTGGGTGGCTCAGTTGTTAAGCGTCTGCCTTTGGCTCAGGTCATGATCCCAGGGTCCTGGGATCGAGCCCCGCGTCAGGCTCCCTGCTCGGCGGGAAGCCTGCTTCTTCCTCTCACACTCCCCTTGCTTGTGTTCCCTCTCTCGCTGTATCTCTCTCTGTCAAATAAATAAATAAAATCTTTAAAAAAAATAAATAAATAAATAAATAAATAAATAAATAACAGTCTTGCTAGTGGTTTATAATTCTATTAATCTTTCAGGAAACCCACTTTGTTAATTATCTCTATTTTTTGTCTTTTTTCTATTCTTTTGGTTCCTATTCCTTATTTCCTTTTCTCTTCTTACTTAAGGTGTAATTTGCTCATCATTTTAATAGCATTTATGCTAATTCAATCTGAAGCCAGAAGTTCTGTTACCTCCCCTGTTAAAATTTCAAATTTCACATTCTAGGGTATATGGCATAGATTTATTATATATTATCCTATCTTTGTTTTTGAGATTAATTGTGGATGACATTCTTTCAAAAAATAATATTCCTATCTTATCTGCTGGAGATTTTCCTTGACAAAAATCTTTAAAAATAAGTTTTAAAATTAGTATGAATACTAAAGTGCAGATACAAATCAATTTAACATCTGGATTGATAACACTAATGTCAAATTATTCTTCCTGCCTAATATCTTTATTTATTCATTTAATCTAAATAACAGTGCTAGAATACTCTTTTTATATTCTGCTCTAGAAACCCATGATAGTTTATTGCCTGCAAGATTACATCCAGTCTCCTCTGTCAGTCATTCACCAGGCTTCTGTTTCCGCCTCAGTCTTCAACTTTCCGCCTTCAGTCTGCAGTAGGAAGTCTTCATCTCAGTCATAACCACACACATTGGATTAAGTCTGTTTTTGCTTTTGTTTCTCTTATCTTGTGGAAAAACCAGTCTGGAATAATGGAAAGAACATAGTTTTTTGTTCTAGTTACACTGGGGTGTAGATTTTCTAGCTTACTTCCTAGTTTTGTTACTATGGACAGATTACTTAGACTCTGTGAAATGGTAATATTTCCTTATGGAGTTGTTATGTGGATTGAATGAAATATACACATGCATACATTGTAATAATATGGATAGAATTTAGGCGATATTTAACAAATATTCTCTTTCTTTTCCCGCATTTTAACTAATCAGATCCTGCCCTATTGAAGTTCTTTTTTTCCCCATGAACTCTACGTTTAGTTTATACTACACTACAATTTTTTTTTTGCCTTTTATTCAGTCCAGTGATATAAGTGATCTCAAATAATTAATTTTTGTTGATAATATAGTGTTCTTCATATTGTGTTATTTTTGTGTTATTTATTCACTCAGGAGTGTCAGTTTTATGTAATATAAAGGGTAGACAAAGAAGTCACATTTTGCATTTTTATTCTGGTGCTGTCACTAGTTTCCTAGCTTTCAGGAGAACACCTTTCCTCTTCGAAGAGGGTTATGTTTCCTCATGTTTAAAAGGAGATAATTAAACTAGAGATTTTATTAAGGTTCCTTCCAGTTACAAAATATAGCAATTCTACATATTCTTGGAGTATCTGTTTTGTGCTAGATTCTGATGAGAAATTTTAATGAGAAATATTTTAAAGACCAATTGTGTCTTTAGATTGACAGGTACTAGAGAATCAAGCTGTGTGCACAAATGACTAAAATGCAATGGGTGTATAATAGAAGCCATATAAGTGTTCTAAACAGAGTGCCATAAGGTATACAATAGTTCATCTCTTCTTTCCTGGTAGATTTTAAGCATTTCTGTGGTAAGATTTAAACCCTGTGTTGGACTTCTATTGCAAACCTTTTAATGAAAGTCAACAAAAAAGGATTTAATTTTATTTTTCTGTTATTCTTTGAATTTTTTTCTTTTTTCTTTCTTTGCTCTCCACAGAATGGTCCTAGTGCCAGATCATGTCATAAAATGTGCATTGACATTCAAAGAAGGCAAATCTACACATTGGGGCGTTATTTGGATTCCTCCGTGAGGAACAGCAAATCTCTGAAAAGTGACTTCTATCGTTACGACATTGACACAAACACATGGATGTTACTTAGTGAGGATACTGCTGCTGATGGAGGGCCGAAATTGGTGTTTGATCATCAGGTTTGGTGCACAGATAAATAATATGGTGGAATTAATTAGTGCCCAGTAACTCTTATTCTTAGAGTTTATTTTACATGTTATGCTGCGTTGTCTATTGGTGAGTTCCTACAAATACCTAGAATAGACAATAAAAATAACTCTTAGTAGGTATAAAGTTACCCTTTAATATTTTTTTTTCTCGTTTGGTGCAGGATAAAATACTAAGATCTCAGAACAACAGCGTTAATTTATAAAAACTTTAGAGAGTAGATAGAGCAGTACATATTAGGAAAAACTAATTTTATGATAAATGGTCATAACTCAACAATAACAACTTACACTCTTAAAACTTTTTATTCTACATTCCTGGAAGAAATTTAAAATTACTTTATAATGAGTTTGAGAATTTGAAATCTAGACCTTTTCTTCCAATTTGAGTGAAATATATTTACTTTTCTATATAATCATAAACTCAATAAAAAGCAGATAGGAATGTGACATACACTAGATGAAGTTAAGTTTGAACTGAGCACCAAGAGAAATCACATAATGGTGCTATAGACAAAAAGACTACACGTAGCAATTTGTATGCCATTTTAATGCTAATACACATGTAGTTCTCATCATCATCCCCATCAATGTTATTATCATTGTTGCCAGTCTTTGAATATTTAGTCCACATCAGTTTAGTATAGATCAGTACACAAAACAGTAACTACTGAATTCTGTAGGCAGTTTTACTTGGCTCAACCCATATCCAGAAGTTTTTTTTTGTAGTATGGGGGAGAAAAAGACTTTTTAAAAAATCTGTGACACTATATTGATGAACATAGCATTATCTAGTACTTGTGAAATGGTAAGTGGTGCTAAGATAATGACAGAATCTAGCTTAGGCCTAATATCTTATCTAGGAATTAAAACCCTGGTCTTTTTTTTTAATTTATTGTTTCTTTAGAGATTTTTTAAATTCTTTGCTTTTAAACTATCCTGCTGACATATTTATATTAACAAGTAGTTGTTATAGGAGAATGGTAAGGAAAAGAGGAGTGGGTTTTATGCCTATCAAGTGAATGGTGGGTGGAAAATCAAACCGTTAGTCTTCAAAGTATCCCCCAGATTGAATTAGAACTTCTGCTGGCTCTCCATAACTGAGCTCTGCAAAGCTTTGCACTTCCCTGCTGACATCCTCACTGTTGTTCATATGGGAAATAATAACTTCAAAAAATGTTAGGCTGGTCATCAGCAAATAACGCTATTAGGGAAGCCATTTATTTTCTTCCAACTGATTACAAATTTCTTTTACAAAAGATGCTTATGTCTTTATTTTTACAGATTGAAAAAAGAATAGCTTATGGGTAGCCTGAGTATAACCCGTTTATTGTCCTGTCTGTGACCTTGGCTTTAATAAAATAGAATGTTCCTTGGAAGCTAGGTTCTGTTACATGATGCTTGATTTTCATCTGATTAGATTAAATAGAAGAACAGTGGGGGTGAAGAAACCAGGATATCAACAATTAACACAATCTTTATAAGCCACCATTTTCTATTCTAGTTCATGTAAATAAAGTTACTCCAGGGCGCCTGGGTGGCTCAGTTGGTTAAGCGACTGCCTTCGGCTCAGGTCATGATCCTGGAGTCCCTGGATCGAGTCCTGCATTGGGCTCCCTGCTCGGCAGGGAGTCTGCTTCTCCCTCTGACCCTAACCCCTCTCCTGTGCTCTCTCTCTCAAATAAATAAATAAAATCTTTAAAAAAGAAAAAAAAAAAGTTACTCCAAAAATTACTTAGGGTCATTCATGACACATTAAGACTTGACACTTAGCATTCAAATTTGAGAAGAACATGAGAAAGCTAGAGGCATGAAGACATGTTTAGAAGTTACTTTGCCATTTAAAATTTTAACAAAAAAAAAAAAACTAAAGACTTTTAGATTTTTTAAGACTGTAGTGGCAGCTTAGTTCTGAAGTTTTCCATGTTGTTGCTTTGTATGATTTTCAGTGACAATGAGAACCAAACAAAAAGATTAAGGAAAAACATCCCCATAAGTCACATATTCAGTAAAACCAGAAACCAGAGAAACCCACAACTCCCAATTCCTTATAAGTTTAGCCAGAAACAACTGAAATACCCAGAACTAGTTTTGAAGCCCACACAGTGTAATAGGGGAGAACTCAAGGCATGAAATAGAAGCCCCCTAAACCAGATGAAGTTCATAGAGAAGACATGACTTCACAGAAGCACCATATTTTGAAGAAGCCATTTAATTCAGTAGCAACAGAAGAGATCCTTGAGCAAGAACATCACCCTTTTATAGGAACCTTCTGTTATCTGGGGTCCAGGGAAATTAAACTCATTTAAATATGAAAAACTAAAAAGCAATAAACACCAAATCTTTAGAGAGGTACTCTAAAGAAAAACAGTAAAAAGAAAAAGAAAAGCAAAACTTTCCTTCATGCAACAGCAAATGAAAAATTATATTCCAGTATTCTAACATGAATTAAATGGCGTAATGCAGCTTGAAACTGTGAAGAAGACTACAAAGCATAAATTCAAGAATGCAGATGAGATGGCCAAATAAAAGGAATAGGTGAAACTGGACCTGATAAATTCAGGAATGAAGTTAAAGAAAAACATATAACCACTTTCAGAAATGAAGGGTAATCTACAAGGAATCGGAAGAGTAGGTAAGGGTCATATAGCATAGAAATAAGAAGAGCAGATAAAGAGAACAGAAATAAAGATGTAAAAAGGATTAGCCAGAAAATTATAGAGAATACAGTCAAAAGAGAGCCAACATACACATAATTGGAGACATTAAAGAAGAAAACCAAAACAGTGGAGCAGAACAAATATTTATAAATAAAATTCAAGACTACTTGTACATATCAAAAGGGCATGCTATATTCAGGGAAAATTGACCTAGGCATTCAACTCTGGAACATATAGTAGAATTCATATTGAATTTCAAAGATAAAGATGCATTTTTGGGCAAGTAGGCAAAATTATCAAGTCACCTATAAGAGAAATAAAATGAGTCTGGTCTCAGATTTCTCTACAGCTACATTCAGTGCCAAGAGAGACAATAGAGCAACATCTAGAAGGTATTCAAGACAAGACAGTGTGAGCCAAGGGTTTTATATCTAGCCGAATTGTCCTTCAAGTATAAACACTTTTTGAGGAAATTACTAGAAAATAGAATACAAGCTAGCCAGGAAGTGACTGGAGAAGCTTCAATCAAAGGACTGGAGATCTCAGTTCATTGACCTTCTTCCTGGGTCACTAGGTGATTGTAGGCTGAACATAAACTTTTACTGTCCTCTTGCCCCACAGTCTATGAAATGCAAAAGAACACGTTAATAGTAATGTTGAAAACAGGAAAGAATGTCCTTGGGGAACTTAAAAAAATTTGGGAGAGTTCCTGTAAGGTAGAAAGCAAATGGGTTCAGATCCAACCAGAAGAAACCAGAGCCCATAAGACTACAGCAACTAGAGTCTCAAAGTTTATTTAAGAAAAAAAAAGAGAGTGTCTCAAAGTTTATGTAACTGGGGCAAACATTAGATGATCAGTTGGGGACTGGACAGCAGGGCATTCTCCAGTTTGACTGAGCAGCACTTATCTTAGGTATTTGTCCACATGGGTCAGGTGTTAAGTGTGGACACTGGAGCTGGACGGTTAGAGCAATGATCCCAAGAGGCACTGGAGAGCTGCTGTATATGAAGAGGCAGGTGAACAGGAATTTGCAGATACAAAGAGGATTAGAACAACAGCCAAAAAAAATCAAGTATTTGAAAGTAATGAATACCATGAGACAGACAGGGGTAGTGAACTCAACAGATTAAGAATTAACAAAGAAAAACAGCTAGTAGTATAGACTGGAGAAGCCTTTAAGATAAGTTTAAGTGATATTTTTAGAGCAATTCAGGAGGCTGTTTCATCCATGAAAAATATCTGGAAAAATTATAAGTTAAAGATTTGATAACCGGGGCGCCTGGGTGGCTCAGTCGTTAAGCATCTGCCTTCGGCTCAGGTCCTGATCCCAGGGTCCTGGGATCGAGCCCCACGTCGGGCTCCCTGCTCCGTGGGAAGCCTGCTTCTCCTTCTCCCACTCCCCCTGCTTGTGTTCCCTCTCTCACTGTGTCTCTCTCTGTCAAATAAATAAATAAAATCTTTAAAAAAAAAAAAAAGATTTGCTAACCAAATAAAAGTCTGAATCAATTGATTAAAAAGCTCTCATCTCTAAAAGTTACTAAGTTAGTGAGCTGAAATTATGAGAGAAAGGTTAAGGAACAGAGAAAAGATCCTGAAGTTCTAATATCCACCTAATAGGAGTTCTAGAAAAAGAGAATGAAAGCAAACTGAAAACAACATGCCTTAAGGTTAAAAAGGAAGAAAGGTCCCAGAACTGAAGAAAGACAGTTTTTAGAATTAAAGGAACACCAGGGACAGATTAGGATGAATGAAAAAGAATATCCCTACCTAGATACTTCCTTTTTAAAAAAAAATATTTTATTTGAATTCAATTAGCCAACATAGAGTACATCATTAGTTTCAGATGTAGTGTTCAATAATTTATCAGTTGTGTATAACACCCAGTGCTCATCACATCACGTACCCTACTTAATGCCCATCACCCAATTACCCCCTCCGCCGACCCACCTCCCCTCCAGCAACCCTCAGTTTGTTTCCTGTAGTTAAGAGTCTCTCATGGTTTTTCTCCCTCTCTGATGACTTCCCCTTCAGTTTCCCCCCCCTTGACCTATGATCCTCTGCGCTGTTTCTAGATACTTTCTTAATGAAATTTTAGAACCATGGATTAAGAGAAAATCCTAAAAGCCGCAGAGAGGACACTGGTTACCTTTGTAAGTAAGCAAGGGGTAGATTAACATGAAGCATTTTTGGAGGTTTGTGTGTTGAGCAACACTGGTTAGAAAGCTTCAGAGTTTGTGAGGAGAAAAATTGTTTTGAACCCAGCCTAATTCTAGCCAGTCTTGTGTTCATGTGACAGAGTAAAAGACTTTTGGATTTTAAAACATTGGGGTAGGGAATAAGTGGCTATCCACTATTTGTTTGATTTTAGGAATTAAATATCTAACCTGATAGAGTAGATGAGTGAGTGGTCTTCCAAGATTTGACATAAATGATCTCTTGAAGTCTTCAAGAGAAAAGATGTTAATATTATCATACAGACTTTAATAGGTTATTAGCTTTTCAGAAGTTTTTTTCAGAGATTAAAAATGAAAAGGAAATCATAAACTGCACAACATAAAGTTTCCTAGAGTGATTAACACTTCTTGTTTGATAACTCACCCTCATTGACACTGCGTATCTTATCTGGGGAAGAACCAACCCGAAGGAATAAAATTAATTTTATCTGTTTTGTGTCCTGTTTGTTCTAAGATAGGGAAAGAGTCAGTGAAGCTACTATAGTTTCTCTTTTTTTGAGTTGGTTTGGTCTGGTATGGTGGAAAGAGTTACTAAGATAAAGATGTTTATGCCTCACCACTAATAACAAATGAGAATAGCCACATCAAAATTAAAGTTAAATATCCCCAGAAGGAAATAGAAACTCCTTTTGAAGAAGAACCATAGGAGCTGGATAACAGAGTTTAGCCAAAATTAGTATGAATCTGTAAATTTGTAAAAATTTTTAAATAGGCTCCCATAATGTGGATCCCTCAAGATTTTCAACATGATCCTGAGGTGTTTGGAGAGATGTGAGTCTTAAATGCCTAGGACAGGGTAATGTGACTCAGATTCAGTGAAACCTCAAATGGTGATGTAGTAGGTGAATGGGGCCATACGGAGTTGTCTTGAGCAGCTTATGGATAGCTTTTAATGATATGATAATTTAAGATTAAAAAGTGGGAATACTTTGAACCATATTCACCAAGATTTCACCCTTGAGGAATAGATTTTCATCTTAATTTATGGAAGATTGTCAGAAACCTGGGAAATGACAAGTGATTGGATCTTTTAGTGGTTAGGGAAAAATCAGGAGATGCTAGAATCTTTTCTTTTTAATATTAATTAAAAAACCAAAATTTACAATTATGAAAATAGCTTTTCCTGAAAACAATACAAAAATAGATAAATAGCACAACTTGATGGGAGGAGAAAATTGAACATATAATGGCTAGTATTTGTGCTTTAGCCAAAAGATAGATGTTTTGTATATGCAATTTATTCCTTAAATATTAATGCCATTTGTGTTCAACATCTAATTCCCAACTAGGACTCACATATTCTTTGAAATAGAATTTGATTCTTACTGTCTTGTGACAAATGGCTTTTTTCTCAGAGATATTTTTATGAAAAGCCATAATCTCCTTGAGTGGAAAGAATGAAAGAATCAAGTTTGGCTTTTGAACATAAATTGTATAACATACCTCAAAGAAAATTAAATTTATAATATTGTGTTAAAGGAGGCAGATTCATTACTAGAGAAGTCAGTCTGGAGACTGCTGCAAACATTTCTTTGTTTTACATATTGTAACAACATAATTTGAAGAGCTTAGCAAAATAAATGCAGAAAGATAGATTTAGTTGTATTACTCTTATTGACATAGCTGCCCTCTGATTTAAAGGGTAGCAAGATTAATAGGATGGATGCTTGCCTAGAATAGAAAGAAGGGAGTTTTTATAAGGAGGATGAAAAGGAGGGTGTGATCACTGTTTATCCATAGAGTATGATTAGCATTCAGTCTTTGGTATTAATCAGCACCTCATGTATTATTGATTGATTTGGTAAAAATTATACAGTTTCAAGAAAGCATAAAGGTCTTTAACCCAATATATTTTGCTCTCATTGGAAAAAACGGAAACCCAAAAAAGTATTTAGAAATACATCATGAATCTCTGCCAGGTGGTAAGCATTATTGCAGTAAGTGCACATGATAATCAGGGGTGGTATTCAGTGTTATTAAGACAAAGTTTAGTTTCTCGAGAATCTAAAACTGCACACATTGGTTTCATTTTATCACATATGATAGGAACAATCTGTAACGATTCAATCTGTTGCCTTGTTCTGATAGATGTGTATGGACTCAGAAAAACATATGATCTACACCTTTGGTGGTAGAATTTTGACATGTAATGGCAGCGTAGACGACAGCAGAGCCAGTGAACCACAGTTCAGTGGGTTGTTTGCTTTCAACTGTCAATGTCAAACTTGGAAACTTCTTCGAGAGGACTCCTGTAATGCTGGGCCTGAGGACATCCAGTCTCGGATAGGACACTGCATGCTATTCCACTCAGTAAGAATATTCTATACATTGTGTTGTTATTTTGTCATGTATATTCTCAATAGAAAAAGAAGTAGCGAAATCCAAATCTTCAGAAAGAGATCAAAACTGTTCATTAAAAATAAATGAAACACTTTCATAGTGTTAGCAATGATAGACAAAAATAAAACTTCCTCAACAGTGAACTGGTTGCTAGTTATGAGACTCTTCCTATTAACATAGTAATTCCTAAATAGTTATTACTTGAATACTACTCTCAACACTTTTTTTTAAGACTACTGCTTATACAGATACTGTAGCTATTTCTTTTTCTTACATCTTTCTACTTACTGATTTCTCTTAGTAACTAGAAGATCAACTATTTTATTTTCATCTCTGCCATTCTCCATTAAGTACGAAGAATTAAGAATTGACTTTATAGAATTAGAATGTAAATTTATCAGCAAAACCAATATGGAGCCATTTCTTTAACCTTTTCAGATGTTATATGAAAACTTGGGCTTCTTTCTGTTAACTTTAAAAACATATTGTGGAATATTTTAAACATATATCAAAGTAGAGAAAAGAGGGTAATAAATTCCTGTGTACTTATTTATCTGTTTCAACAGTTAGCAATATTCCACTATTCGTTTGTCATATATCTATCCCACTTAAATTTCATTTTCTTTGATGTTTCTCCAATTTTTAAGTTTATTCTGAAATTGTATTTTGCTGGGCAAATTCCAGACAGTGTGTCATTACACCTATAAATACTACGGTGTATCACTAACAGATAAGGATTTTTTTATAAACATAATTATGATACCATTGTAATACTCAACCAAAGCACCAGCAGTTTCATGTTATCATTTAATACATAGTCTGCATTCATTTTGTTTTCTGAAATACTGAAAAATACCTTTCGATAGTTGGTTTATTCAAGTCAGACTCTAAAACAGGTCTATGTATTATATTTGGTTGTTATGTCTCTAAAATTTCTTTTAAGCATAACAGTACTCCCTGCTCCTATTTTTTTCCCCCTCGTATACCATTTATTTACTTGTTAAAGAAGCTGAATCATATGTGTTCTCGAATGTCCCATATTCTTGATTTGGCTAATTTTATCCTTGTATTGTGATCATCTAGTCTCCATATTTCCTGTAAGCTGGTAGTTAGATCTAGAGGCTTGATTTTAGATTTTCTCTTTTTTGGGGGGTGAGGAATGCAAAAGGAGAAATGCAAGAATACTTCATCAAAGATGGTGTGATTGCAAAATATCAAGAGGCGTTTAACATGTAGTTATCAAAGTTTTGGTGATATTAAAATTATTCGATGGGTTTAGATGTTATCAGCCTGATTGATCAGTAGTGAAGGTTCTTGTCAGCATTTTACCAAATGGCTTTTGCAGTCATTGATAATTGTTGTGTACGGTTTATAAAACGGTAATTTTTCTAATTATGTTATTTATTCTGTATTTATTAACTGATTCTGATATTAAAAACTTACCTTCATTAAGTATTTGGCTACCCAGGGGCGCCTGGGTGGCTCAGTTGGTTAAGTATTTGGCTACCCTGATATGCATACCACACAGGATAGGTAATATAAATGTTTGATTTTTTTTCCTCTGTCACCTTCTCATATTAATGAGTTGAAGGTCCAAAATTAACCAATATAGTTTTTAAGCATTATTATGAACGTGTGGACTTTTATATATTTGATGTTTTTAATCCAGTGCTGTCATTATTCTTTTTGATGCCCAAATTTTTCTTTGTCCAGTAGGAATGCCCCTTTCTCAGTATACCCATACATATAGCTATATACACACATATGTATATTACATAAATACATATATATCTTTTTTAGTAAGAGAAAAATTAAATCATTAGTTCATACTGACATGACCGATTCAAATTAAGAATTATTGAGTTTTTAAATTTAATATCCCTTTGATTTTATATTTATGTATCTTAAGGTTAAAATCCTACTTCCTAATGACAGTATTATATTACTTCTTATGTCTTTCTATAATAGTTACAGAATCACAGAACTAACAAAAATTACTGAATGTTTCAGGTTCTTTCTGATTATTTTTCTGTTCAGGATATAGGTAGGGATGGGTAGTCAAAAAACATGAATTAAATCACTAGAAATACTACTACTCTGTGTGATCATGTCTCTGTGTGGTCATATCTTTACAGATAGGTTTATTTCATTAAAGATAGTTTATTTCATTGTTTTTCAAATTTCAGAGATTGCTTTTGTTCTTTTGAGTTAATTAAATAAAAGCAATATACGTAGTTCCAAAGGCAAAACCGTATGTCAGTGTACTTTTGGAGAGATCTGGTTTCTGTCTGTCTTCCTTGCTCTGTCCCTTCCCATTAAGGTCTTTAATTAGCTTCTTTCCTTTGTTTCTTTTTGAAGAAAGAAACAAACATACGCACATTACTTTTTTTCATTTCTTATGCAAAGGCAGCACCCTGCATTCATTATTCTATACCTTTTTTACTTTAATAAGGTATCCTAGAGATCACCTCTCAGTACATAGATAGCTTCATCATTCCTCTTTATACCAGCATAGTACTCCATTGCATGGGATCTGTCATAAAATTGCTTTTATAGAGGTTTAAATTTTAAAAGGATCATTCTGAATTCTTCATGGAAGTGACTACTTTCTCCCTTCTTTGCCCTCTTTCCTTATTTTTCAGAAAAATCGTTGCTTATATGTATTTGGTGGCCAGCGATCGAAGACCTATTTGAATGATTTCTTTAGTTATGATGTGGACTCTGATCATGTAGACATAATATCAGATGGCACCAAGAAAGACTCTGGAATGGGTAAAGGCATTTAGTGATTCTTCTCTCATGTCTTAACTACTTTAGGTAGAAGACTATATATAGCCCATTTTCTTTTCTTTCTAACCATTCTTCACCCTTTCCCCATGTCTTTAATTGAAGTAATTCTGAGTAAGGGGAAGAAAAATCTACCAGCTGAATTATCCAGTTTTATCTGTTTAAAATATACAAGTTATTATATTATTTGAGCAGAAAGACAATATGTACATTTCTAAAGGCATTATTTATGTGTGTGCTTGCTTGGTGGGGCTTTGCAAGAATTAATATCTTAAAAACTGTCTTATTCTGTGTTTGCTAATCCTTTCCGCCTTCTGCTTTCACTGTAGTGACATATATTAGGCAGTAGCATGGTAGAGTATGTCTTTGTTCTGAGGAAGGACTTCATGTAACTCGTAATGACTTTTAAGTTTGCAAGCTCAGCTCCAAGTTATTCTCCTCATAATAGGGTGACTGGTTTGCCTGAGATAGTCTCAGTGTTATGCATATTGCCTTGGCATGGTTATTAGTAGTACCCCTGTTCACTCTCAAGTACCGTATTTTGGATAATAATTTACATAGTTACCCTGAATAGTAGTCACTTTGCCTGTGATTATTATACACAGATGAATGGTATTTAAGATGCAGTGGTTTAAAATACCTAATTTGAGAAATTAGATCAGTTTGCTTTTTCTTTTAGCTATTATAAAAATAGATCTTTTTATTCAAATAGTTCATATTTATGAGAAAAAACTTTTAAAAACGTTTTAACGGAAGATAGTACCATAGTTAAAAAGTGCACATGAAGGGACCCTCAGGACTCTTCTCTCATATTTCCTACTAGGCAGAGGCTAGAGCTTTATTTTCTGGGGGAAATGAGTGCAGAGGTGTTTTTTCCACCAGGCTTAAACTACTTCCCAGGATTAAAAGAAAAAAGTGGCAAAGAATGATAGTAACAAAGACTTAGTACAAAAACTCACTCTGGGTAAGTTTTAATGACTATCATTTGAAGATTTTAAAAAATGAGTTATTATTATATAGTAATTTGCAAAATTGATCAGTATAATGCTTTGTTCATGGTTATGGCTAGCTTCAGAGCCAGCAAAGTGTGATAATTTGATTATCAAAGTAATAATATGCTCATTATAAAGCATTTGGAAAATATAGAAAGATGTAAAAAAGAAACTGTATCAAACCATCCAGATGTAATCTGTTATCATTTTGATGTATTTCCCTCTAGTTTTTAAAAATTTATTTATTGTAGGGGCGCCTGGGTGGCTCAGTGGGTTGAGCGTCTGACTCTTGATTTCAGTTTGGGTTGTGATCTCAGGGTCATGGGATCAAGCTCCACATCAGGCTCCACACAGGGCATGGAGCCTCCTTGAAATTCTCTCTCTCTCTCTCTCTGCACCTCCCCTGTGCATTCTCTCTTTCTTTTTTTTTTTTTTTTTTAAATGGTTCTTTTTTTTTTTTTAAAGATTTTATTTATTTGAGAGAGAGAGAATGAGAGACAGAGAGCATGAGAGGGAGGAGAGTCAGAGGGAGAAGCAGACCCCCTGCTGAGCAGGGAGCCCGATGCGGGACTCGATCCCGGGACTCCAGGATCATGACCTGAGCCGAAGGCAGTCGCTTAACCAACTGAGCCACCCAGGCGCCCGCATTCTCTCTTTCTTTCAAAAATTTTATTGTATAAAATTTAACACAATTTTATATTCTTCTATTTTTAAATTTACATTAAATTGCAGTAACTTTTTCATCATTATGGTTTTACTACCATGGACTAGAGGTATTAGGAGAAGTGACAAGTATGGATTCATTCCCTAATTACTGCTATAGTCAACTCTTATAAAATCAGAATCACCAATTTTGCTGTGTGTTCTTTAATTTTTAATTGATTAATGGTGAATTATTCCATGCAAACAAGTTCATTCATTAATAATATTTGTCGGGCATCTGCTAGCATCTAAGTTTGATCCTCTCCCTTCCTCCCTCCCAACATATTTCAGTAGCATCTGTGTGCCATATATGTTTTCAGTGCTTGAGAGAGAGGGTAAGATCCCTCCCTCTCAGAGGGCTCACATGCTGGTGGGGAGACTTGCAGTCTCCCATTCAGTACTGTGAAGAAAGAACACTGGCTGCCATGAGAATAAGTCACATGGGAGGTCCCATGTGGATAAAGCAGGCTAGAAAACCATCTCTGCAGGGGTTATCTTCAAGATTTAAGATGAGAAGTAGAGAACTAGGAAGAACCATGTTAAGAAGGGAGAGAAGAGCAAGTACAAAGGTCCCAGAGCAGGGGAGAACTTAGTGTGTTCCAGAAAGAGTTGAGGGCAGGGAAGTTGGTATGAAATGAGGGTAGAAAAATAGTTATAACTCTGATTGTTCAGTGCCTTGTACAAATGCAAGATGTTTGGATTTTTTTTTCTAAATAAAATTGGAGGTAGGGGCACCTGGGTGGCTCAGTCGGTTAAGCGTCTGCCTTCGGCTCAGGTTGTGATCTCAGGGTCCTGGGATCAAGCCCTGCATCGGGCTCTCTGCTCTGCAGAAGCCTGCTTCTCCCTCTCCCACTCCCCCTGCTTGTGTTCCCTCTTGCTGTGTCTCTCTATGTCAAATAAATAAATAAAATCTTAAAAAAAAAAATTAGAGGTATTAAAAGGCTTAATGGTATAAAAAGGGGCTTGATTTGATTGATTGAAATTTTGAAAATATCACTCTTTTGCCTAGATACACATTTTCCAAGTGCTTAATTTTGACAATATGCCTACAGGTTGCAGTGTCCAGAGGCTGTATGGTGCTTTAATTGAGGATTTTTATGGCAGAGTTGAATGTCTGGTTAGACTGTATACTTGGAAAGTTTTCCTGCCTAAACTCTTATGGTTTTATTTGGAATTGTGGAACCTCAGTGGCTCTTTTGGCACAGTAGAGTGAAACTAAAATTGCTTTCGTTTTTCTTTCTTTTTTTTCCCTCCATCTCCCTTCCTCTTTATTTCGCTCCCTCTTTCTCCTTCTTCCTCTCCCTCCCTCCCCCTCCTCCTTTCCCTCTCTTTCTCTCTTCCTTCCTATTTATCCCTTCTTTTCTACCCCCACCCATGTGCCACTTTCTCTCTCTTTGTCTGTCTCCCCCGGGCCCCAGGGTTTTCTGATACCCCTGTGGCCACAGTTGAGAACTGCTCTTTTAGCTCTCCAGAGCCTGTCTTAGTCCTTAGTCAAGTAACCTTGAACAAGTTACCTAATTTCTCAGTCTCAGTTTGTGTGTCTGTAAGTGAACAAAATTATATCGTGTCCCTGCTCATGGCTATTCTAAGAGTAGAGATGGATTGATCCTCCAGTTTTGGCTAGTGTTATTCTTGGGTGTCTCGTTTTTCACAAGAGTATGCCAATGCTATCTGCAGGTTCACTGATCCATTCAGTAATTAAGTAATGTCGGTTTTACCTCCATCTTCTCTCTATTCCCATTGCAACTTCACTAGTTTGAGCTATCATCACCTATTTGGCCTTTGTTCCTAGTCTTCCTCCTCTTCTTCTGTTTGTTTGTTTGTTTGTTGAGAGAGAGCAAGTAAGCGCAAGCGGCAGTGGGAGGGGAAGAGGAAAAGAGAGAGACTCTCAAGCAGGCTTCAGGCTCAGTGCAGAGCCTGATGCTAGGCTTGATCTCATGACTCTGAGATCATGACATGAGCTGAAATCAAGATCGGACATTTAACTGACTGAGCCACCCAGGCACCCCTATTTGTTTTTAAAAGATTTTCTTTTTTAAGTAGTCTCTACACCCAACATGGAACTCCAACCCTGAAATCAAGAGCCACAAGCTCCTCTGACTGTGAGCCAGTCGGGTGCCCCAGAAACATACCTTGTTTACTCTGAATAATGACTATTACATTGACTATTTTATTAAAACTTCCCAAAGGCTTTTCACGTTCTTGTGTTTACAATAGTCCTGTATTTACAGTAGTCATTTTGTGTGGAGAATACAGTTGATATTACTATATATCTGTATAGGCTATAATAATTGGTCTTCCTCTTCTTGTGTACTCCACATCTCCCCCCAACTCATTCTCCATACTGCAAGCAGAATACAGCAGTTTTGTGTTACCAGTGAAGTACAGAATTGTGTGTTTTAACATTTATTCAGCAGATATTTTTTGGTCACCTACTGTGTGCTAGATAATAAGCTAAGTGCTAGAGATACAATTGTGAATAAGGGCTCTGTCTTCCTAGAGCTTACAGTTGTGCACAGGGAAAACAAAGAAGTAGATTAACAACCTTACTTATGGATCAGTGCTAATAAGATAAGAAAATATCTTTAAAAAATATAAACTCTGGACGCCTGGGTGGTGCAGTCAGTTAAGCCTCTGACTCTTGGTTTCTGCTCAGGTCACGATCTCATGGTCGTGGGATCAAGCCCGGCATCTGGCTCTGCACTCAGTACAGAGTTTGCTTAAGTTTCTCTCTCCCTCTCTCTCTCTTCTCCCCCACCCACAGCTTTCCCCCCCCAAATAAATCTTTTTTAAAATAATAAAATAAATAACATAAAAAATGTAAACTTGATAGGCTTTCTTCCTTGATTAAAATTTTTTCATTGTGTCCCTTTGCTCTGAAGATTAAGTCTAAACTCAGCCTGACTCCTGGGTTCCTTTATGATATGCCCCACCTTAGTTTTCCAGCCCCGTTTTTAGTATCCACCCTCACCTTGCCACCAGTTCTTTGTTTCATGACCACTGAATATTAATTCTTAATAGATACAATACTTTTTCTTGCCTTTGGGTTTTTGTCCATGCTGTTCTCCCTGCCTGAATCACTCTTCCGTCTGACCTCCAGAGTGTAACCAACTTGTGCACATCTTTCAGATCTTAGTTTACAGATCATTGTCTCCTGAAATTTTCTAGTGCCTCAAGCCCAGGTTAGGAATTAAAGCATATGGTTCTAATCTGTTAACACAATTCTAAATATTCATTTAGTATAATCTTGACTCTGCTTTTCAAAATCTATGAAAAGCTTAGCTGAAATAC